ACACACACACACACACACACACACACACACACACACACACACACACAATGTAACATTAAAATAAACTACATTATATTATGTTACATTACATTGTGTTTCATCATTTAACACTATATTTCAATATGTTTCTCTTCATTACTTTATGTAACAATCATTTGGTAACTACGGTCATTAGGGTGCACTGAAGCCGGAAGTTGGACCTGAACATCGTGTTGTTTCACAGTGAACCAGCAGGTGGCGCTGGACACTAACATGAGCTGACAGGTGAGGTTCACCCAGCAGCCAATAGGATTCCTTCATGTTCAACCTGCAGGAGAACAAGGAGACGATTGTTGTCAGCAGGATGAGAGAGGTCTCACTCTGGCTGTTTATTCAGAGCTCCTCATCACAGAATGTTCGTACGGCAACATTTACAGTTTTAATCGTGAAAGGTCCGTTTCACCCCTAATGATCTGTGGGCTCGATTATATTTAGTTCATCTAAACTACCTTAAAATCATGGTTCATGTTAATATGTTCATGAAAAGTGTTTATCTCGATTACACATCAATTATAAATGTATTTCTTCTGATATTGATAAATGTATTAAAGTTAAAAACGCAGGGTTCACAAAACAGACTGATGAGTAATGAAGTTAAAATATACGTTTTAAATTTGCATATCTGTATATGTGGAGGAGTATTTCATTAGTTCAGGGTTTAAAAACCCATGATATAACCCTGATAAATAAAACAGTTTGCTCCATTAACTTTTCTGAAAATAGTGAGATGTATTATATATATTTAGATAGAAATTCACAACTATTGTACTATATTATGGTATATAAAGTAAAAGGAAATGAAATAGAATGTTGTGTATTAAAGTTTAGTGACAGAGTGATGCCTCCTGTCAGATGCTCTTATCTCCGCAGCAGTAGTTCCTTCACTTCCTGAACACCTCGTCTCCTCCACACTAGTGTTTTCATCCCGGTGTTTGTGCTGCTTCCTCTGACCTCAGCTCCTCCGGCTTGATATCTGTCTGTCTGCCGCTTCTTTAACCTGAACAACAACAAACAACCCTGGAGGTCGGTGCTCCGGTCCGGGTCCCGAGGAGCTAGCTTTAGGAGGCTACTGGAGCGTTTGACGTTAGCCGAGCGAGGCATCTGGACAGCGGGCAGAGGGAGCGCAGCATGGCCGCGGGGAGCGACAGCCAGGCGGCGGAGGAGAAGAGGACGAGCGGGAGTCAGAGTGAAGGTACCGGGGAGGGAGAACCGGGGGATGGGTTAACTACACACGGCCCGCACGGCTCTAAAACTCGGGCTAGCTGGTACCTGATGGGAGGACTGGTGTGATGAAATAACACTCCATAGTTAGTTTATTTAAATGCATTAAAAGTCATAAACACAAAGTTTCGCCGTCTGTGTCGGGTTTTATAGGTGTAGGGCGTCTAAGGCTAGTTAGCTAGCTAGCAGCTAAACTCACCAAACTTAGCTGACTTATTGAGGGCTAGTATTTATAAAAGTTAACCATTAAAGTTAATTAGTATGCTAATAAACTAATGCCGACACTATTTAGCTTTATCCCAGATGTTTAATGAATAAAGATAGTGTCGTAGTTTTAATTTAAATTGACTAATCATGCTAGCTGAGCTAGAGGCTAACGTCCAAGGCTAGGCTAACGTCTCTGTTTACTAGTCTAAAACTAGATTGTGTTGCTGCTAACTGACCTGTCAGTGTTAGTTAATGTGGTTACTGTACTTTGTGGAGGCTAATGCTAACAGCTAATGCTAACAGCCGTATTAAAGGTGAGTTTAACCTCCAGGTCTGTTGATGAGTGGCAGGAATGCTGACGTGGAGGTGTGGTTACTGAGGTCACAATGCACACACAGGTGTAATCACAGTTAAAGTATTGATTGATGAGTCACATGTTTTACTTTTATATCTGTTTTTGGATTAAAATAACTATATTGCATTCATGTGAATGTCTAATTGTTGCTATGTACTATGTACCTCTGAGGTGTAGTACAGTATAAAGTACTACATGTACCTCTGAGGTGTAGTACAGTATAAAGGCTCTGTGCGGCGCCATGTATTCTCTCGGTGGCAGAGAGAACGTCCCTGTTCTCCTCCAATGAGAGCAGTGGTTTGTTTGGGGGGGGGGAATTAAAACACTGTAATGTGAAACTCTTCAGAGTGGGGGACATGAATCAGGATGAAACCTTTGCGTGCTATAGAGAACGCCTGACTCTGTGTTTCAGAGCCACATGGTCAGATTCCAACAACACAATTAAATTCAGAGAGCTTTTTACATCATTTATCATCATTTCATTCAGTCACCTGAGGCGGATCATTCCTGAGGGTCGGGTTATATAATTTAAGAAAAAACATAATCATATTCTTGGTTATTTAATTATGACGTCACAATTTCAAAACGTACAGATGCAAATAATTCATAAATAAGACGATCGCATTCTGCCGTAGAAATGGATCCTGATCTTATAAACAGAACACCTTGGGCTCTGGTAGGTGTGACAGGTGTGACCTGTGTCCCCACAGTCCACAGGAGGCTGAAGTACATCAGTCTGGCCGTGCTGGTGGTCCAGAACGCGTCGCTCATCCTCAGCATCCGATACGTCCGCACGTTGCCGGGCGACCGCTTCTTCACGACGTCGGCCGTTGTCATGGCGGAGGTCCTGAAGGTCTTGACCTGTCTGTTCATCATCCTGCTGCAGAAAAAATGTGAGTTAAATATCACTATTATATCACAATAATATCACTAATATCAGTTAAATATCACTAATATCAGTTAAATATCACTATAATATCAGTTAAATATCACTATAAT